CTTTCAGAAGCATCCGAAGAACGCTTGTGATTATTGGTTGTGTGGTCCAAATCCTCAGGCCTGAAAACGAGGCAACGCCTTGACTTATGGCCACTTGGAATCGATAGTAGTCATGGAGGAACCTGGGGTGCGCCATCTGGACTGAATACGTTGACCCCTGAGTAGTAAAGATTTTGGGGGGGGGGGGGGATACCAATTCTATAAAGGCCATACCACCATTTCATATAAAGGCCAAGTCCACCTTTTTGACCAGGTTTCATGGGGGGGGGGGGCATACCAATTACACATAAATGGCTCCCAATATAAAACGGCCAAGTCCACCTTTTTGACCAGGTTTCATGGGGAATTTTGGGGGGGGGGGGGAGGTACCAATATAAAGGCCAAGTCCACCTTTTTGACCAGGTTTCATGGGTGCAACCTGGGATACCAATTACACAAATGGCTCCCAATATAAAGGCCAAGTCCTTTCATGGCCTTATTTGACCAGGTTTCACGGGGCAAAAAACGGTTGCCAAGAAAGATCTTAAAGGCCAACATGCCAAGGTGACGGTCCATCCTTTTTGAATAGGTTGGGTCAACCTGGGCTAAGGGGGGGGGAAAAGCACAGGGGGTCCAAATCCTCAGGCCTGAAAACGGCAAGGCTTGACACCACTTTTTCATGACCAGGTCTGGACTGAATACGTTGACCCGAGTAGTAAAGATTTGGGGGGGGCAATACCATTATATAAAGGCTCCCAATATAAAGGACCAGGTTTCATGGGGGGGGGGGGGTACCAATTACACAAAGGGCTCCCAATATAAAGGCCAAGTCCACCTTTTTGACCAGGTTTCATGGGGGGGGGAACCACTAAAAACGGTTGTGGGGAGACCCTACCAATCAATACACAAATATGGCACGATCCCAAAGAAAAACTACATAAGGAAAGCCAGTGTGTCCACCTTGTTGACCAGGTTTCATGGTACACCCTTATGGCCATTAAATCAATGTCTCTACGAAGGGTGCACTAAAAAACGGTTGCCCCTTCAAGAAAGATGGGATGCTACATAGAGTTTGGAGACCCTACATGCCAAGGTGACGGCCATCAGGAAGTCAATGATAAAAAAAATTGTCAATATGGTGCGATGGGGGGGATACGTGCAACTTGGGCTAAGACAAAACTTCATAGAATGAAAGCACAGTGTGGTCCAAATCCTCAGGCCTGAAAAAAAATTGTCGAGTCAACGGGTTGAAAATGAGGCAACGGCTTGACTTATGGGCCACTTGAAATCAATAGTAGTCATGGAGGAAAAGATTTTGGGGGGGATACCTGGGGTGCACCATCTGGATACTGAATACGTTGACCCCTTTCAGGTAGTAAAGATTTGGGGGGGGTATACCAATTATATAAAAAAATGGCTTAGAAGAAAGATCCTAGTTTGGAGACCCTTCATGCCAAGGTGACGGCCATCAGGAAGTCAATGAAAAAAAAAATTGTCCACCTGTGGCCACTTTTTGACCAGGTTTCATGGAGATTTGGTGGGGAATACCGATTATATAAAGGCCAAGTCCACCTTTTTGACCAGGTTTCATGGGGGGGATACCAATTACAAAAGGGCTCCCAATATAAAGGCCAAGTCCACCTTTTTGACCAGGTTTCCCAATATAGAGGCCAAGTCCACCTTGTTGACCAGGTTTCATGGTACACCCATATCTAAGATGTCTCTATGAACCACTAAAAACGGTTGCTTACAAGAAAGATCTGCTAGTTTGGAGACCCTACATGCCAAGGTGACGGCCATCAGGAAGTCAATGATAAAAAATTGTCAATATGGCGCGACGGGTGCAACCTGAGCTAAGAAAAACTTCATAGAATGAAAGCACAGTGTGGTCCAAATCCTCAGGCCTTGAAAATGAGGCAACGTCTTGACTTATGGCCACTTGAAATCAATAGTAGTCATGGAGGAACCTGGGGTGCACCATCTGGACTGAATACGTTGACCCCTGAATAGTAAAGATTTTTGGGGGGGGGATACCAATTATATAAAGGCCAAGTCCACCTTTTTGACCAGGTTTCATGGGGGGGGGGGGGGATACCAATTATACAAAGGGCTCCCAATATAAAGGCCAAGTCCACCTTGTTGACCAGGTTTCATGGTACACCTATATCGAAGATGTCTCTACGAACCACTAAAAAAACGGTTGATTACAAGAAAAAACTGCTAGTTTGGAGACCCTACATGCCAAAGTGATGGTCATCAGGAAGTCAATGATAAAAAAATTGTCAATATGGCGCGACGGGTGCAACCTGGGATAAGACAAACTTCATAGATGGAAAGCACAGTGTGGTCCAAATCCTCAGGCCTGAAAAAGAGGCAATGGCTTAAAAATGAGGCAACGTCTTGACTTATGGCCACTTGAAATCAATAGTAGCCATGGAGGAACCTGGGGTGCGCCATCTGGACTGAATACGTTGACCCGAGTAGTAGAGATTTGGGGGGGAATACCGATTATATAAAGGCCAAGTCCACCTTGTTGACCAGGTTTCATGGGGGGATACCAGTTACACAAAGGGCTCCCCATATAATGGCCTATTCCACCTTGTTGACCAGGGTTCATGGTACAACCATATCTAAGGTGTCTCTACGAACCACTAAAAACGGTTGATTACAAGAAAGAGCTGCTAGTTTGGAGACCCTACATGCCAAAGTGATGTCCATCAGGAGGTCAATGATAAAAAATTGGCAATATGGCGCGACGGGTGCAACCTGGGCTAAGACAACTTCATAGATGGAAAGCACAGTGTGGTCCAAATCCTCAGGCCTGAAAACAAGGCAATGTCTTGACTTATGGCCACATAGTAGTCATGGAGGAACCTGGGTGTGCGCGATCTGGACTGAATACGTTGACCCCTGAGTAGTAGAGAATTGGGGGGGGAATACCGATTATATAAAGGCCAAGTCCACCTTTTTGACCAGGTAGCAACTTGGGCTAAGACAAACTTCATAGATGGAAAGCACAGTGTGGTCCAAATCCTCAGGCCTGAAAATGAGGCAACGTCTTGACTTATGGCCACTTGAAATCAATAGTAGTCATGGAGGAACCTGGGGTGCGCCATCTGGACTGAATACGTTGACCCCTGAGTAGTAAAGATTTTGGGGGGGGGGGGGGAATACCAATTATATAAAGGCCAAGTCCACCTTTTTGACCAGGTTTCATGGGGGGGATACCAATTACACGAAGGGCTCCCAATATAAAGGCCAAGTCCACCTTGTTGACCAGGTTTCATGGTACACCCATATCTAAGATGTCTCTACGAACCACTAAAAAACGGTTGTTTGCAAGAAAGATCTGCTAGTTTGGAGACCCTACATGCCAAGGTGACGGCCATCAGGAAGTCAATGATAAATAATTGACAATATGGCGCGACGGGTGCAACCTGGGCTAAGACAAACTTCATAGATGGAAAGCACAGTGTGGTCCAAATCCTCAGGCCTGAAAACGAGGCAACGTCTTGACTTATGGCCACATAGTAGTCATGGAGGAACCTGGGGTGCGCGATCTGGACTGAATACGTTGACCCCTGAGTAGTAGAGAATTGGGGGGGAATACCGATTATATAAAGGCCAAGTCCACCTTTTTGACCAGGTTTCAAGGCCTGAAAATGAGGCAACGTCTTGAAAAAGAGGCATCGGCCTCGAAACACGTTGCCACCCCCGACATCACTTCCATTCCTCGCTCCACTGATCCACACGTGCCGCTTCCTGTTCAGACACTGCCTGGTCAGCCCCGTAACCGAAAGGTCTGTACTTCAGTACAGACCCGCAACTGGAGGAATAGTCTGCGGGAGCCTGCGCATTGCACCCATCATCCACTGATCCCAGTTGCATACGTACGGTAGGTGGGCATTAAAGCCCTCCTTTTTTTTTTTCTGCCGGCCATACGGGTCAAAATTCGAATCAGACCTAAGAATAATCAGCCGATTTTGGCTCGGTTAGTGGGGTCAATGGCACCGGCCGATTTTCGTGGTTCCTCCCCTTTTTGGTGATCGGGGCATGTTGGAAAATTCGTGAAAAACGACCGATCTTCGACTCCATGACGGTCAAATGGTACAATCGTTTTTTTTCCGAAAAGAAGAGCCGTGACTGGAAGGAACAGAAGTTTCGCCTGTTATATGGGGTGAACTTTACGACTCGGTCGGCCGATTTTTCTAAATCAATGATGACGCCATCGATTACCATTGCGAACGTTTTCAGACGCAAAATCGTTCAGAATTCGACCCGTGTATGGCCTGCATTAGGCAGTCCTAAAGGGGTTTGAGAGGAAAATGACAAAAAAGCCCACCCCACATAATCAACTTCAACTCACCTGCTGCTCCCGTGTCCATCATGGCCGCCGCCAAATACCCAAAGTTGGAGCTTACACGGGGCATCCATCATGGCCCGCCGCCAAATACCAAAGTTAGAGCCTACACGGGGCGTCCATCATGGCCGCCGCCAAATACCCAAAGTTAGAGCTTACACGGGGCGTCCATCATGGCCGCCGCCAAATACCCAAAGTTGGAGCTTACACGGGGCATCCATCATGGCCGCCGCCAAATACCCAAAGTTAGAGCCTACATGGGGCATCCATCATGGCCGCCGCCAAATACCCAAAGTTAGAGCTTACACAGGGCGGTGATGTCACTTCCTCTGTCATAGCACAGTGATTGGGCATGGTGCCTGAAGCACTGCATCATAAGAGGAGGTCACATGGTTGAAAGTACGGTGACTACGACGACAGGAGGAGCCGTGAGGGAGCCCCTGTGTATAACCAGGTCAAACTCTGAGCTTTACCTCAAGGGACAGGGTGACCGGTTCTCTTTAGGGTCAGAGATATGACATCATCATCCTGTGACTGAAGAAATTATTTTTGGATGGAGAGTCCGTTTAATTTTCCGATTACAGGAATGCCTGCGAAGGTATATTTAAGCTGTTTGTCACATTTCTGCCCCTGGCTACGCTTTTATCTTTCTTCCTTCCGGCACCATCTCTCTTCAGGTGTCACCCAGGATCACCGTCTGCCTCCCAGCTCTCTCCGACTGGCTGCAGCTTCTAATGCACATTGTGAGAAGCTCCCAGTGTGCGGTGACATCAGAGGAAGCCGTTTCAGTCCAGGGGGAGGAGCCGGGACACCTGTGCAAGACTGAAGGGGAGGAGCCGGGACACCTGTGCAAGACTGAAGGGGAGGAGCCGGGACACCTGTGCAAGACTGAAGGGGAGGAGCCGGTACACCTGTGCAAGACAGAGAGGGAGGAGCCGGTACACCTGTGCAAGACTGAAGGGGAGGAGCCGGGACACCTGTGCAAGACTGAGAGGGAGGAGCCGGTACACCTGTGCAAGACTGAGGGGGAGGAGCCGGTACACACCTGTGCAAGACTGAAGGGGAGGAGCCGGTACACCTGTGCAAGACTGAATGGGAGGAGCCCAGAACATCGCTCCGTCCTCCTGACAGATCCATATTGATATATTCTGCAGATTATCCCATCACTGACCCTCTAGAGATCTGCAGAACATCGCTCCGTCCCATCTCCTGACAGATCCATATTGATATATTCTGCAGATTATCCCACCACTGACCCCTCTAGAGATCTGCAGAACATCGCTCCCTCCCATCCCCCCTCCTGACAGATCCATACTGATATATTCTGCAGATTATCCCACCACTGACCCCTCTAGAGATCTGCAGAACATCGCTCCGTCCCCTCCTGACAGATCCATATTGATATATTCTGCAGATTATCCCACCACTGACCCCTCTAGAGATCTGCAGAACATCGCTCCGTCCCCTCCCCCCTCCTGACAGATCCATATTGATATATTCTGCAGATTATTCCACCACTGACCCCTCTAGAGATCTGCAGAACATCGCTCCGTCCCTCCCCCTCCTGACAGATCCATATTGATATATTCTGCAGATTATTCCATCACTGACCCCTCTAGAGATCTGCAGAACATCGCTCCATCCCATCCCCCTCCTGACAGATCCATACGGATATATCTGCAGATTATTCCCACCACTGACCCCTCTAGAGATCTGCAGAACATCGCTCCCTCCCCTCCCCCTCCTGACAGATCCATATTGATATATTCTGCAGATTATTCCACCACTGACCCCTCTAGAGATCTGCAGAACATCGCTCCCTCCCATCCCCCCCTCCTGACAGATCCATATTGATATATTCTGCAGATTATTCCACCACTGACCCCTCTAGAGATCTGCAGAACATCGCTCCGTCCCTCCCCCCCTCCTGACAGATCCATACTGATATATTCTGCAGATTATCCCACCACTGACCCCTCTAGAGATCTGCAGAACATCGCTCCGTCCCCTCCCCCTCCTGACAGATCCATATTTATATATTCTGCAGATTATCCCACCACTGACCCCTCTAGAGATCTGCAGAACATCGCTCCGTCCCCTCCCCCTCCTGACAGATCCATACTGATATATTCTGCAGATTATCCCACCACTGACCCCTCTAGAGATCTGCAGAACATCGCTCCCTCCCATCCCCTCCTGACATCCATATTAATATATTCTGCAGATTATCCCACCACTGACCCCTCTAGAGATCTGCAGAACATCGCTCCGTCCCCTCCTGAAACAGATCCATATTGATATATTCTGCAGATTATTTCCACCACTGACCCCTCTAGAGATCTGCAGAACATCGCTCCGTCCCATCCCCCTCCTGACAGATCCATATTGATATATTCTGCAGATTATCCCACCACTGACCCCTCTAGAGATCTGCAGAACATCGCTCCATCCCATCCCCCTCCTGACAGATCCATATTGATATATTCTGCAGATTATTCCACCACTGACCCTCTAGAGATCTGCAGAACATCGCTCCGTCCCATCCCCCTCCTAACAGATCCATATTAATATATTCTGCAGATTATCCCACCACTGACCCCTTTAGAGATCTGCAGAACATCGCTCCCTCCCCATCCCCCTCCTGACAGATCCATACGGATATATTCTGCAGATTATCCCCCCACCACTGAACCCCTCTAGAGATCTGCAGAACATCGCTCCGTCCCCCATCCCCCTCCTGACAGATCCATATTGATATATTCTGCAGATTATTCCACACTGACCCCTCTAGAGATCTGCAGAACATCGCTCCATCCCCTCCCCCTCCTGACAGATCATATACGGATATATTCTGCAGATTATTCCACCACTGACCCCTCTAGAGATCTGCAGAACATCGCTCCGTCCCATCCCCCTCCTGACAGATCCATATTGATATATTCTGCAGATTATCCCACCACTGACCCCTCTAGAGATCTGCAGAACATCGCTCCCTCCCCTCCCCCTCCTGACAGATCCATATTGATATATTCTGCAGATTATTCCACCACTGACCCCTCTAGAGATCTGCAGAACATCGCTCCCCCCCATCCCCCTCCTGACAGATCCATATTGATATATTCTGCAGATTATTCCACCACTGACCCCTCTAGAGATCTGCAGAACATCGCTCCGTCCCCTCCCCCTCCTGACAGATCCATATTGATATATTCTGCAGATTATCCCACCACTGACCCCTCTAGAGATCTGCAGAACATCGCTCCGTCCCATCCCCCTCCTGACATCCATATTAATATATTCTGCAGATTATCCCACCACTGACCCCTCTAGAGATCTGCAGAACATCGCTCCGTCCCATCCCCCTCCTGACAGATCCATATTAATATATTCTGCAGATTATCCCACCACTGACCCCTCTAGAGATCTGCAGAACATCGCTCCGTCCCCCTCCTGACAGATCCATATTGATATATTCTGCAGATTATTCCACCACTGACCCCTCTAGAGATCTGCAGAACATCGCTCCGTCCCATCCCCCCCTCCGCTGACAGATCCATATTGATATATTCTGCAGATTATTCCCACCACTGACCCTCTAGAGATCTGCAGAACATCGCTCCGTCCCCTCCCACTCCCTCCATGACAGATCCATATTGATATATTCTGCAGATTATCCCACCACTGACCCCTCTAGAGATCTGCAGAACATCGCTCCGTCCCCTCCCCTCCTGACAGATCCATATTGATATATTCTGCAGATTATTCCCACCACTGACCCCTCTAGAGATCTGCAGAAACATCGCTCCCTCCCATTCCCCTCCTGACAGATCCATACGGATATATTCTGCAGATTATCCCACCACTGACCCCTCTAGAGATCTGCAGAACATCGCTCCGTCCCCATCCCCCTCCTGACAGATCCATATTGATATATTCTGCAGATTATCCCACCACTGACCCCTCTAGAGATCTGCAGCCAGAACATCGCTCCCTCCCATCCCCCTCCTGACAGATCCATATTGGAATATTCTGCAGATTATTCCACCACTGACCCCTCTAGAGATCTGCAGAACATCGCTCCGTCCCCTCCCCCTCCTGACAGATCCATATTGATATATTCTGCAGATTATTCCACCACTGACCCCTCTAGAGATCTGCAGAACATCGCTCCATCCCATCCCCCCTCCTGACAGATCCATATTGATATATTCTGCAGATTATCCACCACTGACCCCTCTAGAGATCTGCAGAACATCGCTCCGTCCCCTCCCCCTCCTGACAGATCCATATTGATATATCTGCAGATTATTCTGATAGTTAAGGGTTAAATGCGGCTGCTGGTTGGGATGATGATGGTGGTGGTTGGGGGGGGGGGGGGGTTTGCACCGCCCTCCCCCCACAAGTCTTCTGTGCGGAGGGGGGGGTTGGGGGGGTATTGTGTACATTGTGTGGCAGACAATAGAGAACAGGAAGCGGCAGGTGGCGGCTCAGAACGGTTCCGTCTTCTATAGAGACACAAAATGCACAATTTCTGCCTCTGAGCTATTCTGGGCTGTGAAAAGCGACCCGCTGCGCTCCGCTCTCTACACTTCCTCAACTCCATTTCAACGTCTTGACAACAATACCCCCGGCTCAGCTTCGCAGCGCACAAAACTGTTCACGGTGAACCTGTACCTGGGCGTCCAATCAGGAGCTGCGGTGTCATTGATAGGGGTGTCACGTGACACCAAGGCATCCCCCCCCCCTCCTTTCGCACTCAAATACACAAGCGACTTCCAAAATGGAGATAAATTTATTACAAATCAAAGCGAGGGAGAGGAAGGTTTGCCCCCCTCGGAGTCCGTGATCGCCGTACGATTCGCCGCGTACCCGCCTTACGCAAACAATGCGCCCGATTACCACCGCGACCAGGAGGCCGCCGTTCAGCTGGCTGTGGATTCTGGCGTGTTGCTGCCCTCTGCTGGCGGCTCGGTGGTAGATGAACGTCCCGTTCAGTGGCTGGCTGTGGATTCTGGCGTGTTTTCTGCCCTCTGCTGGCGGCTTGGTGGCAGGACATCCCGCGGCTGCTTGTCTGGACAACCAACTCCGGTAGCGTCTGCTGCGAGGTCCATCGAACATCACCACGTCCACCGGGACCCGGACCGTGTCTATTCCGTTCACCTGCAACCGAGAGGAGGGTCACACCTGGGGCAGAGGGCGTACCAAGAAAAAACGCCGAATACAGATTCACAGAGGTCATTCCTGGGCAGTTTTCCTCATCTCTCACCTTGCTGCCTCCTTCTGTCTGCTAGAAATGCTCCCTGTCAGCGCCAATTCTGCCTGCAGTGCTTTAACCGCCTCCCACCCGCCATATAAGGCAATGACGGGCGCAAGGCGGTTCTCTCGTTCTGGGAGGAGGTGATATGACGTCTTCCCACTCTAGCCGCACTAGAGGGGGAAGAGAGAGGGGGGAGGAGAGAGGGAGAGAGGGGGGGAGGAGAGAGGGAGAGAGGGGGGAGGAGGAGAGAGGGGGGGGAGAGAGAGAGGGGGGGGAGAGAGAGAGGGGGGAGAGAGAGAGGGGGGGAGAGAGGGGGATGAGAGAGGGGAGGGGGAGAGAGAGAGAGGGGGGAGGAGAGAGAGGGGGAGGAGGAGAGGGGGAGGAGAGGGGGGGGGAGAGGAGAGAGAGGGGGGGGAGAGAGAGGGGGGGAGAGAGAGAGGGGGGGAGAGAGGGGGGGAGAGAGAGAGGGGGGGGATAGGGGGATGAGAGAGGGGAGGGGGAGAGAGAGAGGGGGAGGAGGAGAGAGAGGGGGAGGAGAGAGAGGGGGGGAGGAGAGAGAGGGGGGGAGGAGAGAGAGAGGGGGGAGGGGGGAGGAGAGAGGGGGGGAGGGGGGAGGAGGAGAGAGGGGGGGAGAGAGGGGGGAATGGAGAGAGAGAGGGGTGGAGAGAGGGGGAGAGGGAGAGGGGGAGAGGGGGGGGAGGGAGGGGGTGAGAGGGGGGGAGGAGAGAGAGAGGGGGGGTGAGGAGAGGGGGAGGAGGGGGGGAGAAAGGGGGGGGAGAGAGAGAAGGGGTGGGGGGAGAGACGGGGGAGAGAGAGAGCGGGAAGGAGAGAGAGAGAGGGGGGGCGGAGAGAGGGTGGGAGATCGAGAGAGAGAGATATGTAATCATTTGACATGGGGGTGTTTCCGAATAAGCCAACTAGATGGTCCTCATCAGCTGGGTAGAGCGGGGGGGGGGGGGGGTGGTCAGTCCCTCCTCCTGAACTGCAGAGAGCAAATGACCAAAAGGCTATTCACAGCATAGCAGTCAATTTATAGCAGGTGACTCTGAACCTGTAGAGCATCACCTCCTGGCTGCAAGGGATCGGATGAATAGGGAACAATCACATGTAATATTTTATATACAGGATACGGAGATAATTTAGTAGGAAACGTCTGACATGGACATGATAAAGGAACACAGGACGTCACTATTGCTCTCTCGGGTCTCCTGGGCGCTGTGCTCATGTTTCTGCAATGTGAGCTCCGCCCACAACCAGCACTTCATTCACAAAAAACAATAAAAATGAGGGGAAAAAAAAAAAAGAAAGTCAAACTCACCGTGACTTCGCACCAATACTCTCCAAGGGTGGTAATTGGTTCCTCTGGGATCTTCAGAACCTCCAAGGGGACCACCACATCCATCTATGGAGAGGAGACAAGGAGAAGAAAGAGAAGAAAACGGGGGGGTGGGGGTAAAAAGAAAAGCAGAAGAGGAAGGAATGAAAAGAAGAAGAAAGGAGGAGGAAGGGAGGAGAAGGAAGAAGTGGAAGGAGAAGAATGAAGACGATAAAGAGGAAGCAGAAAATGAAGAGGAAGGAAAGGGAAGAAGCAGAAGAACGAGGAAAAAGAAGGAAGAAGAAGGAAAGAGGAAGATGGAGAAGGAAGAAGCAGGAGAAATGGAAAGAGAAGAGGAAGGAAAGAGAGATGAAGAGGAAGAAGGAGGAAGAAGAAAAAGAAGGAAGATGAGGGAAGAAGATGAAAGGAAAAGGATGGAGAAGGAAGAAGAGGAGGGAGAAGGAAGTAGAGGGAGAAGCAGGAGAAGAGGAAAGAGAAGGGAGAAGCAGGAGAAGGAGAAGGGAGAAGCAGGAGAAGGAGAAGGAAGAAGCAGGAGAAGAGGAAAGAGAAGGGAGAAGCAGGAGAAGGCGAAGGAAGAAGCAGGAGAAGAGGAAGGAGAAGGAGAAGGAAAAGGAAGAAGCAGGGGAAGAGGAAAGAGAAGGAAGAAGCAGGAGAAGAGGAAAGAGAAGGAAGAAGCAGGAGAAGAGGAAAGAGAAGGAAGAAGCAGGAGAAGAGGAAAGAGAGGGAAGAAGCAGGAAAAGAGGAAAGAGAAGGAAGAAGCAGGAGAAGAGGAAGGAAGAAGCAGGAGAAGAGGAAGGAAGAAAGCAGGAGAAGAGGAAGGAAGAAGCAGGAGAAGAGGAAGGAAGAAGCAGGAGAAGAGGAAGGAAGAAGCAGGAGAAGAGGAAAGAAGAAGCAGGAGAAGAGGAAAGAGAAGGAAGAAGCAGGAGAAGAGGAAAGAGAAGGAAGAAGCAGGAGAAGAGGAAAGAGAAGGAAGAAGCAGGAGAAGAGGAAAGAGAGGGAAGAAGCAGGAAAAGAGGAAAGAGAAGGAAGAAGCAGGAGAAGAGGAAGGAAGAAGCAGGAGAAGAGGAAGGAAGAAGCAGGAGAAGAGGAAGGAAGAAGCAGGAGAAGAGGAAAGAAGAAGCAGGAGAAGAGGAAAGAGAAGGAAGAAGCAGGAGAAGAGGAAAGAGAAGGAAGAAGCAGGAGAAGAGGAAAGAAGAAGCAGGAGAAGAGGAAGGAAGAAGCAGGAGAAGAGGAAGGAAGAAGCAGGAGAAGAGGAAGGAAGAAGCAGGAGAAGAGGAAAGAAGAAGCAGGAGAAGAGGAAAGAGAAGGAAGAAGCAGGAGAAGAGGAAAGAGAAGGAAGAAGCAGGAGAAGAGGAAGGAGAAGGAAGAAGCAGGAGAAGAGGAAGGAAGAAGCAGGAGAAGAGGAAGGAAGAAGCAGGAGAAGAGGAAGGAAGAAGCAGGAGAAGAGGAAAGAAGAAGCAGGAGAAGAGGAAGGAAGAAGCAGGAGAAGAGGAAGGAAGAAGCAGGAGAAGAGGAAAGAAGAAGCAGGAGAAGAGGAAAGAAGAAGCAGAAGAGGAAAGAGAAGGAAGAAGCAGGAGAAGAGGAAGGAGAAGATGAAGTAAAAAGAGATGAAGAGGAAGTACAAAAAGAAGGAAGATGAAGAGGAAGGTGAGAGAAGATGGAGAAGGAGGAAGGAAAATGAGGAGGAAGAAGAGAATGGAGGAGGAGGAAGAAAGATAGTTAATCTCATGCTAACATGCCCGTCTCGTATGCTGCTAGAGACAAACAGTTCCCAATATCCCCAGTCCCGGACCAGCCCCCAACCTTTCCCTCCCAGCATCCTCTCAGGCCGCCTCCCACTTGAGTATCTCTTCTTATGACCCCGCCTCAATATCCTAGCTTCCAGTATATCTGCTCCTGGACAGTATCTTCATTTTTGAACCCCCCTCCCCCCAGCCTGATCTCCTCCTCCCCACCCCCCACCCGAGGAAAAGTGATGTTTACCCTCCATGACTGTAAGAACTAAAACCCGATAAATGAAAGGGATGGGCCAAGGACCCCCAGGATGGACGTTCTTCACCCAGGAAAAGAGGCGGGCTCTGACATCACATGACACAACCTCTATTGGCTGCCGTTGCTGGGATGGGCAGGACATCCCGACGTCTGATCCCACGTTGCAGGACACAACCAGACGCCGAGCGCAGAAGGCGAGGACCTCGGCGACTTACGTTTCTCAGGAATTGGCGCGCTACGATCTCTTTGGTCAGCGTCCATCCCGATTCCTCTCTCATTCTCACCTCCAGACGGGAATGCTTCAGGAGGTTTACAGTCTGCGGAGGGAAAATGAAAAAGACCACCAGAGATTTTTATATACCAGTGAGGAATCCATCAGAAGTGTTCTCCCCCCCATATGCAAACAGCCAAGCCAGCCCCCCGCCAATCCACCGCTGACGTCCATCCCAGGAACTAGTATGTGACGTCATATGGGATGGATGCAAGAGGGGGAATTGGCCGGAAATGGCAGTCACGTCAATGGCGCTTCCCTGTACCATTCTGCATATGGGGGGAGGAGGAGGAAGGACCATGTGCCTGGTGGGGGTCACGATGGTGACGGTGGGGGGGGGGGTCACGATGGTGACGGTGGGGGGGGGGGGTCACGATGGTGACGGTGGGGTGGGGGGGGGGGTCATGATGTGGGGGTGTGTAATTTTATGGCTTAGAGTGCTTGTAATGACTGACCTTCTCACCGCTCCAGGACTGCTGGGGTTCGATGGCCGTCACTGACGTTTTCGTCTATGGGGAAGAATGAGAGTGATGAGACAGGAGAAGGCGCTCTCAGGGTGCGGCACACTGACCCCACTCTTTCAGGAAATGACCACGCCCTCTGCGGACACGGCCCAGTGCCCACGCCCTCACTGGACAGGCCCCTCAGACAGGGTACAGTGACCACGCCCTCTGCAGACAGGGCACAACACCTTCTGTGGACAGGGCACGGGGTCAACGCCCTCACCACCCAGGCCAGTGACCACACCCTCCCCAGGCAGGGCACAGTGACCACACCCTAAATGGACAGGCCTCCCCAGACAGGGCATGGTGACCACGCCCTCCCCAGGCAGGGAGCAGTGACCACGCCCTCCCAGGCAGGGAGCAGTGACCACGCCCTCCCCAGGCAGGGCGCAGTGGCCACGCCCTCCCCCGGCAGGGCACAGTGGCCACGCCCTCCCCCAGGCAGGGCGCAGTGGCCACGCCCTCCCCAGGCAGGGCGCAGTGGCCACGCCCTCCCCAGGCAGGGCGCAGTGGCCACGCCCTCCCCAGGCAGGGCGCAGTGGCCACGCCCTCCCCAGGCAGGGCGCAGTGGCCACGCCCTCCCCAGGCAGGGCGCAGTGGCCACGCCCTCCCCAGGCAGGGCGCAGTGGCCACGCCCTCCCCAGGCAGGGCGCAGTGACCACGCCCTCCCCAGGCAGGGCGCAGTGACCACGCCCTCCCCAGGCAGGGCGCAGTGACCACGCCCTCCCCAGGCAGGGCGCAGTGACCACGCCCTCCCCAGGCAGGGCGCAGTGACCACGCCCTCCCCAGGCAGGGCGCAGTGACCACGCCCTCCCCAGGCAGGGCGCAGTGACCACGCCCTCCCCAGGCAGGGCGCAGTGACCACGCCCTCCCCAGGCAGGGCGCAGTGACCACGCCCTCCCCAGGCAGGGCGCAGTGGCCACGCCCTCCCCAGGCAGGGCGCAGTGACCACGCCCTCCCCAGGCAGGGCGCAGTGACCACGCCCTCCCCAGGCAGGGCGCAGTGACCACGCCCTCCCCAGGCAGGGCGCAGTGACCACGCCCTCCCCAGGCAGGGCGCAGTGACCACGCCCTCCCCAGGCAGGGCGCAGTGACTCTCGCTCGCTCGGAATATGTTGTGGTGACCCCGTTCTCCCCGATCACTCACCATCTTATCGCTTTCAAACATCTTCTTGTTCTCGGGGGAGGGGTAAACGGCGAATCCCTGCGGCAGAAGTTTATTCCGGCCCAGCGCTTTGTCCACCAGCACCGTGTCACCGCGACTGCCGAGCTCTGCAAGGAAGAGGGATGCCGGGGGGTCAGTGTGCGGACAGTGGCCCCGCAGCCCCAGCGCTGCATCGTCAGCACTCACTTTGTATGGACCGGGTCAGGATCAGCTCCATCTTCTCCTTCTCCCGGTGCTTCGTGTCCTCCACCATGCGGTAGATCCGGTGACGTCGCGGGTGCAGGTATGGCTCCTCCCCTTCTTAGCCAGGGGGACATTGTACCAACGCTCTACAATCACCGTACCCTGCAAGACACAAGACGGGAGATGACCAATGAGGGCGATCGTACACACTGTACATGGGGGTACAGAGCCAGGGGGGGCCGTCACCTCTCACTGGGGGGACGGGGGAGGGGTGGGTATGATATCTTCTCCATCATCACTAAACCGTTACAAGGGGTCAGTCAGTGCGGGGCAGACAGGTACAGGGGGGTCAGTCAGCGCGGGGCAGACAGGTACAGGGGGGTCAGTCAGAGCGAGGCAGACAGGTACAGGGGGGTCAGTCAGAGCGGGGCAGACAGGTACAGGGGGGTCAGTCAGCGCGAGGCAGACAGGTACAGGGGGGGTCAGTCAGAGCGGGGCAGACAGGTACGGGGGGGTCAGTCAGAGCGAGGCAGACAGGTACAGGGGGGTCAGTCAGCGCGGGGCAGACAGGTACAGGGGGGTCAGTCAGCGCGGGGCAGACAGGTAACAGGGGGGTCAGTCAGCACGGGGCAGACAGGTACAGGGGGGTCAGTCAGAGCGAGGCAGACAGGTACAGGGGGGTCAGTCAGAGCGGGGCAGACGGGTACAGGGGGGTCAGTCAGAGCGAGGCAGACAGGTACAGGGGGTCAGTCAGAGCGAGGCAGACAGGTACAGGGGGGTCAGTCAGAGCGAGGCAGACAGGTACAGGGGGGTCAGTCAGCGCGGGGCAGACAGGTACAGGGGGGTCAGTCAGCGCGGGGCAGACAGGTACAGGGGGGGGGTCAGTCAGCACGGGGCAGACAGGTACAGGGGGGTCAGTCAGAGCGAGGCAGACAGGTACAGGGGGGTCAGTCAGCGCGGGGCAGACAGGTACAGGGGGGTCAGTCAGAGCGAGGCAGACAGGTACAGGGGGGGGTCAGTCAGAGCGAGGCAGACAGGTACAGGGGGGTCAGTCAGCGCGGGGCAGACAGGTACAGGGGGTCAGTCAGTGCGGGGCAGACAGGTACAGGGGGGTCAGTCAGCGCGGGGCAGACAGGTACAGGGGGGTCAGTCAGCGCGGGGAATGAAGACGGGTACAGGGGGGTCAGTCAGCGCGGGGCAGACAGGGTATACAGGGGGTCAGTCAGCGCGGGGCAGACGGGTACATTAGGGTAATCAGCGCGGGGCAGACATTAGGGTACAGGGGGGTCAGTCAGCGCGGGGCAGACGGGTACAGGGGGGTCAGTCAGTGCGGGGTATGTATGTTACTGGGGTATATATTAGGGGGGGTCAGGGAAGTACAGGGTCTATATTAGAGATATATGAGGGGTGTATGTGCATACATATCATGTATATATTGGGGGTACAGGGTATACATTAGGTGTATATTGGGGGTACAGGGTATACATTAGGTGTATATTGGGGGTACAGGGTATACATTAGGTGTATATTGGGGGTACAGGGTATACATTAGGTGTATATTGGGGGTACAGGGTATACATTAGGTGTATATTGGGGGTACAGGGTTTATATATGGGGTCAGCATTGTACAGGATCTATATTGGGGATATATGAGGGGTATAGATCAGGTATTTGTTAGGGGGGGGTGGTACAGGGTATTATATATTTGGGTGTCAAGTGATATATAGAGGTGTACAGGGTATATGTTGGGGTGTACAGGGTATATATTGGGGTGTCAAGTGATATATAGAGGTGTATACAGGGTATATGTTGGGGTGTGAGGTGTGTACAGGGTATATATTGGGGTTGTACAGGGTATATATTGAGGTGTACAGGGTATATATTGGGATGTCAGATGGTATATATTGGCTTGGAGGGGTGTACAGGGTATATGTTAGGGTGTCAGGAGGAATATTGGGGTGTACAGGGTGTGAGGGGTGTACAGGGTATATACTGGGGTGTGAGGGGTGTACAGGGTATATATTGGGGTGTACAGGGTATATACTGGGGTGCGAGGGGTTTGTACAGGGTATATATTGGGGTGAGAGGGGTGTACAGGGTATATACTGGGGTGTCAGATGGTATATTGGGGCGTACAGGGTATATATTGGGCTGTGAGGGGTGTACAGGGTATATATTGGGCTGTGTGAGGGGTGTACAGGGTATATATTGGTGTGTACAGGGTATATATTGGGCTATGAGGGGTGTTGTACAGGGTATATATTGGGGGTGTGTGAGGGGGTGTACAGGGTATATATTGGGGTGTACAGGGTATATATTGGGGTGTACAGGGTATATATTGGGCTGTGAGGGGTGTACAGGGTATATATTGGGCTGTGAGGGGTATACAGGGTATATATGAGGGGTGTACAGGGTGTATATATTGAGGGTGTGCAGGGTATATATTGGGGTGTGTGAGGGGTATACAGGGTATATATTGGGGTGTCAGGTGGTATATTGGGGTGTACAGGGTACATATTGGGGTGTGAGGGGTATACAGGGTACATACTGAGGTGTATCAGATGGTATATTGGGGTGTACAGGGTATATATTGGGCTGTGAGGGGTGTACAGGGTACATATTGGGGTGTACAGGGTATATATTGGGGTGTGAGGGGTGTACAGGGTACATATTGGGGTGTACAGAGTATATATTGGGGTGTACAGGGTATATATTGGGGTGTGAGGGGTATTGTACAGAGTATATATTGGGGTGAGAGGGGTATATATATTGGGGTGAGAGGGGTATATATTGGGGTGTACAGGGTATATATTGGGGGGGTGTGTAGGGGTGTTTGTACAGGTATATATTGGGGTGTACAGGGTATATATTGGGGTGAGAGGGGGTATATATTGGGGTGTACAGAGTATATATTGGGGTGTACAGTGTGAGGGGTGTACAGGTATATATTGGGGTGTGAGGGGGTGTACAGAGTATATATTGGGGTGTACAGGCTCTATGAGGGGTGTCAGATGGTATATAGGGGTGTACAGGGTATATATTGGGGTGTCAGATGGTATATTGGGGTGTACAGGGTATATATTGGGGTGTGAGGGGTGTGGTATATATTGGGGTGTACAGGGTATATATTGGGGTGAGAGGGGTATATATTGGGGTGTACAGAGTATATATTGGGGTGTTGAGGGGTGTATATTGGGGTATACAGGGTATATATATGGGGTGTGTGAGGGGGGGTGTACAGAGTATATATTGGGGTGTACAGGGTATATATTGGGGTGAGAGGGGTATATATTGGGGTGTACAGGGTATATATTGGGGTGTGAGGGGGTTGTACAGAGTATATATTGGGGTGTACAGGGTATATATTGGGGTGTGAGGGGTGTACAGAGTATATATTGGGGTGTGTACACAGGGTATATATTGGGGTGAGAGGGGTATATATCGGGGTGTACAGAGTATATATTGGGGTGTACAGGCTCTATGAGGGGTGTCAGATGGTATATAGGGGTGTACAGGGTATATATTGGGGTGTGAGGGGTGTGTAACAAGGTATATATTGGGGTGTGAGGGGTGTACAAGGTATATATTGGGGTGTGTGAGGGGTATATATTGGGGTATACAGGGTATATATTGGGGTGTGAGGGGTATACAGGGTATATATGAAGGGTGTCAGATGGTATATAGGGGTTGTACATGATATATATTGGGCTGTGAGGGGTGTACAGGGTATATATTGGGGTGTACAGGGTATATATTGGGGTGAGAGGGGTATATATTGGGGTGTACAGGGTATATATTGGGGTGTACAGGCTCTATGAGGGGTGTCAGATGGTATATAGGGGTGTACAGGGTATATATTGGGGTGTGTGAGGGGTGTACAAGGTATATATTGGGGTGTGTGAGGGGTGTATATTGGGGTGTACAAGGTATATATTGGGGTGTGAGGGGTATACAGGGTATATATGAAGGGTGTCAGATGGTATATAGGGGTGTACATGATATATATTGGGCTGTGAGGGGTGTACAGGGTATATATTGGGGTGTACAGGGTATATATTGGGGTGTGAGGGTATGTTGTACAGGGTATATATTGGGGTGTGAGGGGTTGTACAGGGTATATATTGGGGTGTACAGTGAGGGGGTGTACAGGGTATATATTGGGGTGTGAGAGGGTGTGTACAGGGTATATATTGGGGTGTGAGGGGTGTACAGGGTATATATTGGGCTGTGAGGGGTGTACAGGGTATATATTGGGGTGTGAGGGTGTACAGGGTATATATTGGGGTGTATACAGGGTATATATTGGGCTGTGAAGGGTGTACAGGGTATATATTGGGGTATACAGGGTATATATTGGGGTGTGTGAGGGTGTACAGGGTATATATTGGGGTGTACAGGGTATATATTGGGGTGTACAGGGTATATATTGGGCTGTGAGGGGTGTATATTGGGGTGTACAGGGTATATATGAGGGGTGTCAGATGGTATATAGGGGTGTACAGGCTCTATGAGGGGTGTCGGTGTCTCCTCACCCGGCTCGGGGTGACACATATCGGGCTTCTCAGGCTCAGCAGCCGGCTGGTCACTTTCAGCATCTCTCCGGCCTCTGCGCTCCAAGGACACCATGTGCAGAGCTCGACCAATCAGCGCCCAGCAATCACCCCACATGAGCACAGTTCGCCTCACTCCCTGCCGTCACATGACCCATCACTAGAGTCCCGCTCTCCCGATCTGTCACACACCGGAAGTGTCCTCTACAGCTTAGCCCGGCGGCCATTTTCCCGGAGACTAGCCCCCTTGACAGGATTTTTTTTTTCAACTAATTAAGCGTCGCTCATAGCAACCAGATTATTCCTCCATCCCATCATTCCCCATCCCCCAATTGCTAATAAAGTTATCACTATGGTGACCTGAGTCCCCTCATCCCTTTCCTGATGTTCCCCTTTGTCCTTCCATTACTCTCAGATGAAGTAAACAATCATGGAGAACCAACAATTCTGCGCAGTGTATGTAGCAGAGGACGCGTGGCGGCGATGGCGGCATGCGCAGATCCATGCGATATTGGCCACAATCCTCAGATAAAATCCGCCATCTTCCTCTGAATTCGATGGATCCCTCCTGGAAGTGGCATGTTCACGGCGGTGGCATGGAATGCACGCAAACGCCTCTTTTACGAAATGGGGAGGAACCACGAAAATTGGTTCATTAACAGAGTAAAAATCGATTATTATTAGTGACGAATTTTCAAAAGAAAATTCTTTTGGAATTTGAAACATGTATGGCTGGCATTAAGGCCGGCCATACATGGGTCGATTTCCTAACGATTTTTCGTTCAATAATCGGACCTAAGAATAATCGATTTTCACTCTGTTAATGAACCAATTTTCATGTGGTTCCTCCCCATTCGTTGGTAAGTTCATGAAAAACGATCGATTTTCTAAATCATTGGTGGCACCCAGGGGCGGACTGACCATTTGGTAAACTCGGGCACTGCCCGAGGGCCCGGGGTCAGTAGGGGGCCCATGAGATGCCCCTGGTACCTTTTTCATAGGCTTTTTTGAGTTTGGGCATGAACACAGGGGCCCCACGATCCCCTATTGCTCGGGGGGCCCCATGAGTAGTCAGTCCGCCCCTGGTGGCACCATTGGATTACAGAACCAAGGATGTTTTCGATTGAAAAATAGTTTGGAATTCGACCCATGTATGGCCTGCTTAAGCTCCTGATGAGTGGAGTTGCTGGACGTTAGCACAGGTGGGGCAGATTGCTGTCAACAGAGGGTGTGGTCAGGGTTGGTCAGGATGGTCCAGGATTGGTCAAGGTTGATCCACCCCAGGTGGGGGGTAGTTCCTGCAGGGTGTATAAAGTCTCACACCAGCAGCAAGGATGGGAATGGTTTCTTTCTTGATCACAATGAGTTGGCTTGGAGGGCTCTTTGTGGTGGTCTTGGCCTTTGGGCTTGTCCTAGGTCAGGACTCTTGGCACACCTGGCACCGCCAACAGTCTGGCTCCAGGCGGCATGATCCCCTCCGGTCTGGTTGGGGTTCGGTCCAAGGTTTGCCTAGGCAGCTTGCTCCTCTTGAGAGACCAGTCAGTATAGTGTGCATGGAGGACACGATGGTGGTGATCATCAAAGAAGAATCTGTATGGGAATGGAAAACTAATCCAGGTGTCTGACCTCACCCTTGGCACTACACAGTGTAAGCCAACCTCTGAGGACCGGGACACCGTGACCTTCCAGATCCGTCTACAGGACTGTGGGAACCAAGTTCAGGTGGGCTGTCTGATATATCCATGGTTACATTCTAAAATGTCACTTTCATAGACCTTTTTTAGGTCTGATTTTTCTATGGGGTGATGTATCTGACTGCCTGTAGGTTGAATTAATATCTTGGGAAGGTCCTACTAGAGTAGCGGGGGGATGTATGTCTAGATTGCTTTTGTGACTATCTTGACCACCATTCTGTGGTCTTGATGGTGCTGTGAGGGCCACCTTGCCTTGTGTGACTATCTTGGACACCATTCTGAAATCTTGGTGGTGCTGTGAGGGCCACCTAGCTGAGCTATCTAAACTGCACTCAGATCAAAAATTGATAGAATTGCAGCTTACTGGTCCTTAGAGTTGGTGGCTACACTAGTGTTTTGTCATCCTAGGGTAGCCTTTCTCACACTCCTCAAAACAGAGGAACTCATTGCTGAAGGAACCACTAGCAACCTCTTGAGAAACCCTGCCCTAGGAGAATGAGGGTGTTAAGACTACATAACCCTTCCCTCTCCTCAACAGTGGATGTTCTGTAGTCTGCTGATCCACTAGTGACAGCCATACTAAGGTGTTGTCACCTTAGGGCAAGGAGTGCTAAGCTACATAATGCCTCCATAGCAGGGTGAGGTTTTGTAGCCTGCTGATCCATTGCTTGGGTGACAACCATATTGGCTAGTGTTGTCACACTGAGTGACACGGCTCCATTTCTTCTCATGACCTGGTCAAGTCTTGTGGTCTGCTGAGGAACCAATCCAAACTGACAACATTCTAGAGGCAGAGAGCATGCCCATTTGATATCAATGGGCATGCTCTGCCTCCTGGAGCACTGGCCTACAGGATGTCTTCAGATCACAAGCTTTCTGGCTGTAGGAACATCTATCTCCAAAATGTATTTGGCTAGAGTTGACCTTTAATTCCACCTATGGTCAGGTTGGTCCACCTGGAATTGATATTTCAGGACTCCACAGCAAAAGGCAACAATGCTTCAGATTGTCTGACTATGGGTTGAAGAAGCAGCATGAAATACCAGTGAGCAGAGCTTGGGACAAGAGGTCCATCTACATACCTCTTTAGACCAGTGGTCTCCAAACTGAAGCCTGGGGGCCGCATGTGGCTTTGCTTGCTTTTATCTGGTCCTTGGGGCACTATTTAGTCCACTGACACCGTGTTCCCACCAATGATGGGGCACAGTTCCCACCAACAATGTGTTCCCACCAACAATGGGGCACAGTTACCACCAATGGTACCAACGATGGGCTATTTACTCACACTGATGCTGGGACATCTTCAGGTCCAACCCCCTTCACCCCCCAAAGTCTGTAGGACCGTAAACTGACCCCTTTGCTTAGACAGTTTGAAGACCCCCTTGCTTTAGACAATGCCTACTTGACTTGCATGTTGGGAGTTCCCCCTTTAGGCCTTGGTGACATGACGGGTTTTTTTTTTTTTTTTTTTTTTTTTTTTACAGATGAATCCTGACTTCCTCCTGTACAACACAAATGTGGCTACAAACCGTCTTCATCCAGGAATATTCCAATCACCCGCACAAACAGTGCCAACATCAGCATTCAGTGCTACTACCCCCGGTGAGTCTCCTAACTGGGTCAGTTGTGCATGAATTGTCTGATTCCATCCCTAAGTCTGTGTACTGACAAGATTGAGTTACTGCTGAAAATATAGTGACTTGCAGAACCAGCCATAATGAGATGTTGGGTGTCCAACACTTGGCACGTGCTTGGTCTGACTTGCTATTTTTGTAAAACCAGGACAAGTTTGACTGCCTCGGAACCTGCAGATTTCATGGTACAACTCTAGTGGGCTCACTTTAAAAAAAGGTTCAAAATGGGAGTAATGTTCTATTGGCTTGCGAAATGCATATCTACCATGTGCCACCAGCAGGTGGTGGTGGTCTCCAAGCAAAACTAGCATTTTTACTACAGCTGGTCCCTGGAATATCTGGTTCCAGATAGTGCTGGGCCTTCTCACACCATGCTTTGCTAACTTGAGTCATGGCTGCTCCTTTCAAGGTTTCATACAAAGATAAAACCTTGGAATTTGGGTCAGAATAGATTTATCTGTCAGTACTTCTGTATTTTAGGCATGGAAATGTCAGCAGCAACGCCATCAAACCAACATGGATTCCTGTCAGCACCACCATAACCATGGAGGAGAGGCTCTCCTTTGCACTGTATCTGATGAAAGGTAGGAACATCTCCTCAGACTTTGGAACATTCACTTGTAAGCTGTTACTTGCAAAATAACCGGCCATCCCTCTCCAAAGGGGCAGCTTGCACATGGACCCTGCTGCAGGATACCACACCATGCCAACCCCTAAATATGTGGGACCCCCAGCTTTTCTTAGCGGGGGTGACCAGCATTTCCTGGTGCTGATTGCCTCAGATGCTTAAACTCAACCACTGCACGTGTGGCAGCTTAATGCACAAAGGCAACAATCTGGTTCCTTAATTAGTGGCCTTGCATACATCTTTGAGACCTGGCTACGGAACTCATCTTCACACTTTGGTCACATGATGTAGGTTGGCTATAACAACCAGTTGTCCAAGTAGCTCCAATATCTGAGGACATCTGACCACTAAAGTCTGAGGGTTTCAAGCCCCAACATTGGCTTGCTAGAAGCTTCATGTAGTGCTCATTCCTGACACCATATCTTGCTTGGCCACAATGTTTGGCCCTCCAGCACCAACATGGGAATGAGAGCACTAAAAGAAGCTTCTAGAACTCCAGCCCCAACATTTGCTTTCTAGAAGCTTCTTTTATTCTCATTCCTATGTTGGGGCTGGGGGGCCAAAAATTGTGGCCAAGCAAGATATGGTCAGGAATTAGAGCACTAAAAGAAGCTTCTAGCAAGCCAGACATCATATCTTGCTTGGCCACAATTTTTGGCCCTCCAGTCAGCTTGGTAGATAAAAAAAATTTGTTGGTTTTGAAATGTCTTTCCTAACATGGAAGTCTGTCTCTTGCAGATGATTGGAGCGGTCTGAGGGACTCCAATATTGTATCACTTGGTGACTCCTTGAACATCGAGGCTTTTGTCAAGGTAGACAACCATATGCCGATGAGGATCGTTGTGGACAGCTGTGTGGCATTGCTAGCTCCGGACCCCAATTCCTCCCCTCGATATGAGCTCATTAACAATTATGGGTAAATATATTCCTACTCTGTGTAGCTCCAAATTTTAAAAGCTGGGGTGAAATGTGGATGGGAATCTTTAAACACAAACCCTTTCCAATGGGGGATAAAACTTGGTCTTTTTCTTCATGTACTGGTGACTACACAGGAAGTGAGGGAATTATCTTCACCAAGGACTAACTGCAACAGATCCAACCCCTCCTACAATATACAAACCTCCTGGGGTTTTGTATTCTATATTTGATGTGTGAATGCTGAAAAATTTGCTATAGTTGGGTCAAAGTGGCTTGAGTTGGCTGTGGTACACTGATCTCAATCCTCAATTGCCAAAACAGGCTAGATCTTGGAGATCCCAAACACTCTAGGTAGGAGGACCTGGACTTTGCAATGGGGGGGCCCCACTAGTTATGGCCCTGAGCCTTTCATATCCTATGGATTTGGGTGTCTAATGGTGGTTTACTCTCTGTAGATGTCTGGTGGATGGGAAACAAGAGGACTCTTCCTCCACCTTCATATCAAGGAGACCTGAGCCAAACAGACTGCGCTTTGAGATTGATGCCTTTAGGTTCACAGACTACAACCAGCCAATGGTAAGTAGCAGTCTGAGTGATCGTATGGTGCTGAATGTGGCAATGGAGCTTAACAAATATATTCCATCTCAGATCTATATCTACTGTGTGTTGAAAGCCGTCCCACTCAACCAGGCCCCAGACCCAATGAACAAGGCCTGTTCCTTCAGCAAAACCAGCAATTCGTAAGTTACAAACCTCTGCCTAGCTGTATGGCTTGTATTTGGGGATGGTACCTACAGAACGTGTCAACTGATGGGACACCTTAGATCATCTACTAGACTTTGTACATAGAACATATCCTGACCTTCCAAAAAATGCTACCTGCTTGACTTGTTACTACCAGACACAACTCCTGCCTGGAACAAGCTGGGTCAGCCTTTTACTAATGACTTGGTAGTGATGCCAGAATTGGAGATGGTGTCCATGGAAGCCTACCATTGCTTTTTATAGGGAATTGGTTTCCAAATGCAGAGGAGATACTTACAACACTGACTTGTATGAACCTCAGGCTTGGTAAAGTTGGCCATGCAGGTAATTTCAGCTGATTCCTGCCATAGGCTGAAATTTATTCCATGGGTGGCCTGTTGGCACCATCCAACTTTAAGTCCATTTTTGATTTGCTGTGGGGGAAGTCTTTATGTTTGGACCGCTTAAGTCCTAAAAGCGGCACATCTTGTGCAACGTGTACAATGTATAGCCCCATGACTTGGAAGTCCTATATCTGGGTGGAATCTGGGCTGTGGGTGGTTCTCAATCTGAAATTGGAGGCAAACTTCCAACTGGCACAGGTAGAATTCATTTTTTTCCCACCACCTTTTCACCCTTTACTGGGGTCCTAAAGGGCCCTACTAGTTGTACTTTGAAAAGCAAACTAGTGCGCATTTTGTGCATTCACAGGAAATTTTTTCCAAAGCAATTGCAGGAGATATTTTACAACTTGGCTATGCATGGTCAATGTCTTCCCTTCTCTACCAGTGACTGTCCATTGTTTCAGGTGGTCCCCAGTGGAAGGTTCTGCCAACATCTGCAGTTGTTGTGAATCTGGAAATTGTGATGGCTCTCAATCCAGAAGGCTGAGGCCAGGATCTAGGCACTGGAAGAGACATCAAGCTGGTGAGTTTAATGGTGTCAGACTGATGGAAGCTGCCACTGCTGACCTGAAAATGCTATATTCCTGGGTATAATCTGTTACAAGTCAACATGCTGACCAAGTAGGAAGATGAAGAATTCTGATTTGGTCAACATAGTTCTGGCTGTCTCTAAACTAAACCAGGCAATGGGCATGTTCAGGAGGCAATTTGGTCAAAAGTTCTTAACTGAAGTCTCTTTTCTGCAGAAGAGAGATTGGAGGAGGTGATCCAGACCCAGCTCCTGGGCCCCATTTGGATCGTCAATCTGGAAGCTGACATCAAACCTGATGGTGGGCAGGCTCTTGCTGTGCATGCTGACCCTGAACAAGTGAAGCCCTGGATGGTGGTGGCTGTGGGAGGCCTGTGGGCTGCTGTATTGATGGTTGCTGTGCTAACCTGTACACTCAGATCAAGAAAATTTAACATTGCCAATGTACAATAAAACAGATTTTTGCATATGATTTGGAATTGCTGTGGAGTTTCTTGGTTGTGTGGTAGAGGCAAAATGTCTTGCTAGATGAGGTGTCAACTGTCTTCTACACTTGCCAATGGTTACCACACATGGTTCTTGCCCTGGTCAACCCTCTGGCCTCTCCATTCAGGATCTGATAGCTGTCTGGACCTTGTCTCATTTTGGTCTTTGGGCTACACCCCAAAACTTCACATAGGAGAGCTGTCTGGTGGAAGGATGGTTGCAGGCTTGTCTGACTAGACTCTGCTTGCCTAAGATTGGCCTGATGTGACCATGTGGGTGGGAAGAGACTGGATATTGTCAAACTCCATTGCCCCTTCGGGTGTCTCCATTGCCCCTTCGGGTGTCTCATTGCCCCTTCGGGGTGTCTCCATTGCCCCTTCGGGTGTCTCCATTGCCCCTTCGGGTGTCTCCATTGCCCCTTCGGGTGTCTCCATTGCCCCTTCGGGTGTCTCCATTGCCCCTTCGGGTGTCTCCATTGCCCCTTCGGGTGTCTCCATTGCCCCTTCGGGTGTCTCCATTGCCCCTTCGGGTGTCTCCATTGCCCCTTCGGGTGTCTCCATTGCCCCTTCGGGTGTCTCCATTGCCCCTTCGGGTGTCTCCATTGCCCCTTCGGGTGTCTCCATTGCCCCTTCGGGTGTCTCCATTGCCCCTTCGGGTGTCTCCATTGCCCCTTCGGGTGTCTCCATTGCCCCTTCGGGTGTCTCCATTGCCCCTTCGGGTGTCTCCATTGCCCCTTCGGGTGTCTCCATTGCCCCTTCGGGTGTCTCCATTGCCCCTTCGGGTGTCTCCATTGCCCCTTCGGGTGTCTCCATTGCCCCTTCGGGTGTCTCCATTGCCCCTTCGGGTGTCTCCATTGCCCCTTCGGGTGTCTCCATTGCCCCTTCGGGTGTCTCCATTGCCCCGGTGTCGGGTGTCTCCATTGCCCCTTCGGGTGTCTCCATTGCCCCTTCGGGTGTCTCCATTGCCCTTCGGGTGTCTCCATTGCCCCTTCGGGTGTCTCCATTGCCCCTTCGGGTGTCTCCATTGCCCCTTCGGGTGTCTCCATTGCCCCTTCGGGTGTCTCCATTGCCCCTTCGGGTGTCTCCATTGCCCCTTCGGGTGTCTCCATTGCCCCTTCGGGTGTCTCCATTGCCCCTTCGGGTGTCTCCATTGCCCCTTCGGGTGTCTCCATTGCCCCTTCGGGTGTCTCCATTGCCCCTTCGGGTGTCTCCATTGCCCCTTCGGGTGTCTCCATTGCCCCTTCGGGTGTCTCCATTGCCCCTTCGGGTGTCTCCATTGCCCCTTCGGGTGTCTCCATTGCCCCTTCGGGTGTCTCCATTGCCCCTTCGGGTGTCTCCATTGCCCCTTCGGGTGTCTCCATTGCCCCTTCGGGTGTCTCCATTGCCCCTTCGGGTGTCTCCATTGCCCCTTCGGGTGTCTCCATTGCCCCTTCGGGTGTCTCTCCATTGCCCCTTCGGGTGTCTCCATTGCCCCTTCGGGTGTCTCCATTGCCCCTTCGGGTGTCTCCATTGCCCCTTCGGGTGTCTCCATTGCCCCTTCGGGTGTCTCCATTGCCCCTTCGGGTGTCTCCATTGCCCCTTCGGGTGTCTCCATTGCCCCTTCGGGTGTCTCCATTGCCCCTTCGGGTGTCTCCATTTGCCCCTTCGGGTGTCTCCATTGCCCCTTCGGGTGTCTCCATTGCCCCTTCGGGTGTCTCCATTGCCCCTTCGGGTGTCTCCATTGCCCCTTCGGGTGTCTCCATTGCCCCTTCGGGTGTCTCCATTGCCCCTTCGGGTGTCTCCATTGCCCCTTCGGGTGTCTCCATTGCCCCTTCGGTGTCTCCATTGCCCCTTCGGGTGTCTCCATTGCCCCTTCGGGTGTCTCCATTGCCCCTTCGGTGTGTCTCCATTGCCCCTTCGGGTGTCTCCATTGCCCCTTCGGGTGTCTCCATTGCCCCTTCGGGTGTCTCCATTGCCCCTTCGGGATTGCTGACCTTATTACTTTGACACACCTGCTAACTGAATCACACTGGCCTGCTTTTATTCTTTGGATGGTGTTGGAGATTTTCAGGTCTCCTACTGGGGAATATTCCTCCATTTCCTGCCCTGGGAGTACTTGTTAGTAGACAAGTGTCCTCATTTGGAAGATTCCCCCTTGCCTCCCTGGTCTAGTGAAGTCTTGTATATTGGATCACTTCTGTTCTAGTGCCAACTGTTGGCCAAATCTACTTAGCAGGGACAAGATGGCAATGGAAGTCTAACCTTCCACTCCATCCAAAACTACTTCTTGGGTTTGGACAATGAATTTGCAGCAGGGCTGTCAGGACCTCCAGGGCATTAATTTTTAGGAATATGGAATTGAATATTATGGGACCTCCAGGGCATTACTTTGTAGGAATAGGCTGTGATGGGACCTCCCAGGGCTTCAGGGCATAACTTCATAGGAATATGGAATTGGCTTTGGTGGGACCTGTTTGAAGGTGCAGACACTGGGGATATTTCTATGCTATGTGGAGACCACTTCCTATAGCCAGCAAGTTTGGGATGATACAATGCACATGTTCAGGCCAGCAATGGTACAGCCAACCCTAAAAGGCTTTTGAACATTGTGATGGTGTGACCAACTACTTGGGTAACCCAACTGAACTGGGCTATCTGTAATTTCTAGGGCCTAGAGAGGCTTCAAGTAGAAAACATGGGGGGGGGGGGGGAAAAGCAATTCCTTTGGGTAAACTTCTGCATTCATGTTACAATACTTCACTATGGCTTGGTGGAAAGTGCCTTCTATTAGATCTTTAACTGGCAGTATTGGCCATCCTTTCTTTGGGATGCAGGTCCCTGATTTTGAGGTTGATCCAGTGGCAGTTCTGACAAACTGTCAAGTGAACATGGCTCCTGTATCTCATACCTCTCCATCAAAGGTCTTACTGGATAAATGAGTTTATGGCAGCCATTCTCAACCAAGGTTCCTCTAGAGCACAGGTGTCAAACTGGTGGCCCACCATCTGTTGAACTAGTCCTTGAGCCATTGCAAGGCTGACAGCTACAAGCATGACTCAGAGGCTTGGTGGGACTTAGTTTTGCAACAGCTGGAGGGGGTGCCAGTTTAACACCCTTGCTCTGGAGCAGAGGTGGGCAAGTGTGGCCCTCCAGCTGTTGTAACTGTCAGTTTTGCAATGCCTCATGGGACTTTGTTCTACAAGTGTGACATGCAGAGCCATGATGGGACTTGTAGTTCACCAACAGCTGGAGGGCCAGTTGCCCACCCCTGCTCTAGAGGTTTGCTAGGGCCTCCTTTGAACTGTGGCTGATTTACCTTCCATTTAATGGCTGCACGGTTTCAGCACTAACACCACTAGAGTCAGCTGCATGGTGTCAAAGACCTTTTTAGTTGTCTAACATGGCACTCTCCCCCATTGACCACCAACGTAAGAGGCATGCTTCCTGTTGACCAACATGGAGGAGAGCTTTCTTCCTACTGGCCACAATAAGGTCCCCACACTGTTCAACCTCCAACAAATTGGTTTTTTAGCAGGGTTTCCTTGAGACTCAAATTATTTCAATGGTTCCTCCTGGGGTTAAGTGGTTGATTTATGGGCAATGAAGTTTGGGTATTTATTGGTCTTATGATCTAATGACTGCCAGTTGATCCTGCCGTGGCTCCAGCTATTGCAGTTAACCATTGCATGGATTCCATAAGTTTTAGTCAAAAGACTGAACCCCCAAACTGCTACAAAAGTCACTGGTTAACCTTTCAAAGCAATCTGGGTGCTTTCTCCTCCCCAACCAGTCTTGGCACAAGAAGTGTGGTGACGTATCAACAGAAGTGCCCCCATTCAAATGGTTTTCCTCCCCCCCCCCCCACCTGTTGACTGGATTTTCCAGAATGGTATCCCAGTGATATTGGTAAGAGTGGAAGCACATGACCACCAAGCCCAACCGATAGGTTCTACCTTTTTTTTTTTTGCACTTGATTAAAAATAGCTGGAGATGCACTTGTAGATGTATAGCCATTGAGTTCTCTTGGCAGTTCTATGGCCTAGCTCTCTGGCACCACCATCTCTGAGCTACTAGGCCTTTTTCCATAGAATTGTCTTGGTGGACTTTAGAAAGGTAGATTGCTGGTGTTCCGGTGGTGTTTTTTCACATGTGTGGCTGGTTTGTCATACCTGCAACATGGGACAATTCAGAGGACTACAGCTATGTAAACCTATTGGTATAGTCCCCACACTGAAACCATTAGTTTAGCATCATGGGGGTTTGTGAAACTGAACCTGTGCTGCTTCCTGTCGAAGGGGTGTGCCACCTCCAGACATGACCTTCAGGAGGCACAATAGAAAAGGGGAACCAAGCTAGCTCCTTTTTCCATTCTGAGGGGTCCTGGAGGAAAATCAAGCAGAGAACCCCACCAGCTGCTCCAAGATGAGCCCAGTAAAAAGTGTGGGTGTGGAAGAAAAGGTTAGCTGGAATCCTCCCTCAACCAGGTTCCAAGTGATACATCTCCTCCAGCCAGAGGAAACACAAACTGATCAGCAGGACTTCCTTTGAAAGTACGTTTGGTGATGTGTTTCCTGTTGGAGGTGCCACTATCTCGTGGGTTGTCCTGGAAGACAATTTGGGAAATGGTGCTGCAGCCTTGTCTTCCCAAACAGGGAATGGATTCTTCCACTAAACCTTCAGACCCCAGAAGGGGCCTATAGCCTTGATGGATCTAAGCAGCAGTCCTGGAATCCCTTCTCGACTCACCTTACCCAAAGCTCCACCCATGATGGTGTAAATCTGGGCTATGAAAAAGTGATGACCTGCAAGTCCAAGTAGAATAGCCCTGACCTCTGAGGAGGAATCAGAGTAAAGAAAAGCCCCAGGAAGAGGGAAAAGTGGTTTCCCCACTAGTTGACCATGGAATGGTACTCC